AGCCAGTAATAAAAGGAGCAGCAAAACTGAGTCTCAGAAAAAAAGCAAACTAGCAGAAAAGCAGACCACCCTACTCGAGCCAGAAACAACTCAGACTACCATTACACCATCTCCAAAGCAGCGTTAAACGACCACCACCATGGTCCTGAAGATGACATTTCGCCCACCTCCATCTTCTCAGGTTGAGCAACACCCCATTCCAGGTCCCTGATAGCTTCATCACCAGAGAACTTCAAGTGTCTTCCAGTGCTGTATAAGGGATCCAGAGCACAGTCCTCGCTGCAGCCTTGATTTTGTTCAGGAATTCCAGCAACCGCTCTTTATTTTCTGGTGCGCATAAAACCACCCAGTGTTTTTTGATTATAATCTAATAAGGGGACTAACAAAGGATTAAGGGATTATAATCCATATCTAATGTGTGGGCCACAGCAGTAGCATAGGGTGCAGCAAGCAAACGCCCAACGTCTGAGAATTCAGGTTGGGTGGCTGCTCTTTTATATAATTATAACTATTTATATGTTAGTCCTGGTATAATGTATAATATTTAAGTCTAAATGTTAGCCGGATATTAATTTGATATGTCCGACGTCAGATATCGGATATAGGACGGATAATGGTTAAATTGTAGTTGTATTTGGTATCCACAATAAATAACCATATTTGTATTTGTTATCCAAAGAAAATTGCTGATATCCAAATACTATCCAACCCTCTTCAGATGGATGGTCAGTTGGGAAATATCCGTACCATTTACATCCCTAGTAACTTCTTGTTTGGTCGATGTTGCATTCGTTTAAGGAGTTGCTTGAAGATGTTGTAGGAACAGAAATATGGATGTTCTTTGCTAATATTTTCTTTCTACTGTCCCGAAGCTTACAAGACTAATGTCCCGCGCAATGCTAACATGGCCAAACTCCAAGCAGGATATTTGTTTCCTGAGGTTACGCATCATTCCCATATTTTCCTTTCGTTACTGATGCTATTCTGTTGGAGATTTGGCTTCTGATAGTATCAATTCTTGACCATTGAGCAGATTGCCAGGAGAAGAGCAGCTCATTTGCTGAAGTATCCAGATGTCAAGATTATAAGCCTTGGGATAGGTGACACTACCGAGCCCATTCCAAATGTCATAACAAATGCCATGGCAGAGGTACCTTCATGTCAAACTAGTGTCCTGTTATTCTGTTAATCATATATATTCAACCCACAAAAAAATCCCAGTGTTCCGGGACTTTCAGTTTGTAGTTGAAAAAACACTTATGCATTTGTTGCTGCTGAATATCTCTTTTACAGTTACATTATTTTTTTATCTGTCTATTTGTAAACACAGAGAGCACATGCCTTGTCAACAATTGATGGCTACAGCGGTTATGGAGCTGAGCAAGGTGAAAAGGTACCTTGTGGCGTTATCAGCAATTTTCATTGCATTAACAGGCATTCAGATACTTATTTAACAGCTATACTATATGAAGCTTTACATAAATATTTCATGGAGAAATCTGGATACAAAGATTGGTCGTCTTTTATTTAAAAATCATTTGAGGCAGGTTGACAATCTGTTGATAAAAGGATAACTGTTTTTTAACTTCTTACTGTTATGATATATGATATGATTCTCTAATTCTTAAGGGTTACTGTTTTCTAATGTATTACTTAGTTTAAAGGCCAATCACATACAATCCCTCTAATTAATTGATATGTTTCCTTTCACTTATCCTTCCAAATGCTTGCATAGTTGCACATTTGAACTACTTTGCTTACATTAATTAATTGTTAAGTTTTCAATCCTATTTGTAGTTTTCTCTTTGCTCTGTTCATGTATAAGCTCCTTCAGCGTCATAAAATGTCGTGTTGATTGCTAATGCAGAAACTCAGAGCAGCAATTGCTGCAACCTACTATGCGGACCTTGGTATTGAAGATTCAGACATATTTGTCTCTGATGGTGCCAAATGTGACATATCTCGCTTGCAGGTACCAAAAAGATTTTACTCTTCCCTTCTTAAGTTTACAATTCATTTTAAATTGTTTGTTCATAATTCTCCTAATTCAATATTTCAGGTCCTTTTTGGATCTAATGTGACAATTGCGGTCCAAGATCCATCATACCCTGTAAGAGAACTCTTGAATTAATTTTAACTGTCAGTTACTTACACTTTCATATTAATGATTCTAAACTTATCAGTTACTTACACTTTCATATTAATGATTCTAAATTTATCTGTGATGATAATTGTGATATGTTTTTTTGTCATATTGTTACTTATCGATTAGCTGTTACCATTTTACATACTGTCTATTGAAATTAAAGCAGGCCTTTCATTTTGACAGGCATATGTTGATTCAAGTGTTATCATGGGCCAAACTGACTTATATCAGCAAGATGTTCAGAAGTATGGAAACATTGAATACATGAGATGCAGTCCAGAAAATGGATTTTTTCCTGATCTGTCAACTGTCCCTCGGACAGATATTATTTTCTTTTGTTCACCCAACAATCCTACTGGTGCTGCTGCATCTCGGGACCAACTAACCAAATTAGTAAAATTTGCAAAGGACAATGGGTCCATCATAGTCTATGATTCTGCTTATGCAATGTACATATCAGATGACAGTCCAAAGTCTATCTTTGAAATTCCTGGAGCAAAGGAGGTAGGCTACATGTTCCAATATTTACTTGTTCATACTACATATTGCCATATTGGAGTGTTAAAATGTCCTAGTTGCATGGTTATCCTCAAAATTACAGTGCCAATGCTATGATAATTAGTCGTACCATATTCCCCTTGTAAATAAAAGGGCACCTTTTCCATTGTTTTATGTGCAGGTTGCTATTGAGACAGCTTCATTCTCGAAATATGCTGGGTTCACTGGTGTCCGTCTAGGTTGGACTGTTGTCCCCAAGGAGCTCCTTTTCTCAGATGGACATCCAGTTGCTAAAGATTTCAATCGCATAGTTTGCACTTGCTTCAATGGTGCATCAAACATTGCGCAAGCTGGTGGTTTAGCTTGCCTCTCTCCAGAGGGTCTAAAGGTAGTATTCCTGGTTCTTGGAATTCTCAGATTGCTCTTCTGCATTGTTTCTTTTATCCGTTTGTTCCCGTGCAGGCTATGCATGATGTTGTTGGCTTCTACAAGGAGAACACTGAAATAATTGTTGACACATTTACATCACTTGGATTCAACGTGTATGGTGCCAAGAACGCTCCTTATGTATGGGTGCACTTCCCTGGCCGCAATTCGTGGGATGTGTTCGCCGAGATCCTGGAGAAAGTGAATGTGGTCACTACTCCTGGCAGTGGATTTGGACCGGGTGGCGAAGGCTTTGTGAGGGTCAGCGCATTCGGACACAGAGATAACATCATTGAAGCCGCAAGAAGATTAAAGCAGTTGTACAAGTGAGCACCGATGCAGCTTCTGTGCCCTCCTGGAAAGATGATATCAATATGAACACAGCAGCATTTGGGACACCAAAATTTGCTCGGTGAAGCTGCCAGAAGATGTTAGAAGTGGAACATGATTTTTTTTTTGGAGCATGATTTTCTTTTAGCAGGCTTTCGTGTGGTGTACTACATTCAAACCATTTCCAACTCTAGACAATGCTTGCTGTAGTCCTGAGACTCTTCAATCACTGTTGAAGTGTTTTTCTTGTCTGTGTTCGTTTTTGTGTCCTGCTGTTGCTGTTTAGGAATACCATTAGTCGACACGTTATACACGCAGAGTACACATAATTGACTAAAAATATCTCAAATCGTTTCTTCGCATGTAAATAATTATTACTGGCAGTGGTACACCAGTATCTATGGAAGTTGACCACCTAGAAAAGAGGATTCATTGGAGTACGAGCTCTAATTACCTCGCCATGGAGAGAAGCGAATCGTTGACTTCGTAGGATCAGTTTTGTAATTTTCCTGACACAGGATGCTGAAGAATCATATAGATTCCAGATCCAAATGCAATTCTGCAGCGATGTTCACACTACACAGATGCCTAATTCAGCTGGGATCCAACAGAACGCAGCGACATTGACTACAACCAGTTGCATTACACTGTCAGAAACGCTATTAAGGTAAACTCGTCACGATGGTAATAGAAGCTTGCAATACAAAAGTCAGCATAACAGTATTTCTAGAAGAACATAATCTTGCCCAGCATGAGAACAAAATGCATCCTAGCTATTGTTTGTTCATTTTACCGGAGTTTACATCAACATGAGTACAAAAAGAACTGTATGCAACACAAAATACTCAACCTATGGTGAGATGCCTTAACCCAGTTACAAAGCATCCATCAACCAAGAACCAAGTTCACATAACTCCACAGTTAGCCATCAATGTCAATGGAAGATGTTATCAACAAGGACAACATAATTGGCTCAATGGTGGATAGCATCAAGCCATCAACCCCACTTAAATAATTTATATTGGATAAGTTAAAGATCAAGCTATGGACAAATCATGTCAATGGAAACTGAAAGTAACTCCCGCCTATGCATAATATATGTATTTTTGAGAAATTTGAGCTTGTATACATACCAAAACTATATCTACCAACTCAACAGCCACTAATAACAAGGCAAAGAAGAGAGCAAAATAATTGGCTCACAAGATATGTTATCCTATCCTGTCGAAGAAGAAACCAAAATCACAAGAATAATTCCTTTTAAAGGCTTGATTTAAGGACATCTACAGGGCTACTGGCACACTTATAAAAGAAATCCCCCCCAATAAGAGAAAAACAGAAAACTCTATTGAAATCTATCACGCGACCAATAACTTGAGTTCATCCATTAACTCATTTCTACGAGTGTAAGACATAACTTATGCCAATAAATAAACATAACATCATTCTCCTAACACCTCACATTACAAAGATATCCATCCCATGACCCCAACCCAAACTTCTGTAGCCACCCGATTCTACAAAAAGAACACTTTGGATTCAGACCCAACAGGATCTAGAACGAACCAACAAAATAACATGTGGAATTGTACTCTAATTATCATGTGGAAGTCTTCACAGCCTTGAATGCTGGATGAAGCAACCCAAGCTCATCCTTCGTCTCAAGAGGGTTGCTGGTCTCGTTCCTGATCCTCTTCACTCTCCTGCTTGCTAGTGACTTGTGTGTGAACCCATACATCTGCAAGATCTGGTTATCCCCAAAATTGAATGCACGGTCCATATTCTTGAGGCATCGCTCGACAGGGTAGTCTCCAAATTTGCCACATGGCTTGCACCCGACAAAGTGGGTGACGAGCGGCCACCGGTGATCGCCGAGCCCTGGCTTGTAATTCTCAAGCATCTCCTCATACCTGTCGACCAAGATCCCCCAGTAGCCGTGAAGGTAGTACCCATTCTCAAGGTAAACCTTATCACCCCATTTCTCGCGCTGTGTTGCAAGGATGTACACCATGGCCGACTGATCATCGGCCTCGAATACTGGCCGATCCTTCAGGGACTTGGTCAGCACCTTGCCGGCCTCGATGCGGACAGGGCCCTTTGGCCCCATTGGCGCCCAGGTATCCAGCATGTCAAGCGACCACTGGCAGTTGCGCAGCAAGAAGCTGCCGGTGTTGAGCCCAATCCAATTCTTGTTGTCGTAGACCATCTCGTCCCAGCCGTGCATGATCAGGTTGTACGGCCCGTAGCGCTCCCATGGGAGCTCGAATGCCATGTCGGTGAACATGGCGTCAGAGTCCATCCACCAGATGAACTCGACCTCCGGGTGCGCGAGCAGCAGCGCCCGCAGGAGCGGGAGTTTGGCCCAGAAGCCGGCCATCTCGGCGTCGAGCAGCGCCATGTTGTAGAAGACCTCGATGCCGTGGACGCGGCAGTAATCCATCTTGTTCTTGATGGACTTGAGGAGGTAGTGGTCCCCGACGGGGTTCTCGCAGGGCTTGGGCGAGGAGCCCGTGACGAGCAGCACCCGCGGCTTGATGTCGTTGAGGAAGGGCGGCGTCTCCGGGTGGCGGCGGTGCCAGGCGGCGCGCTGCTCGTCCCAGTCCGGAGATCTTGGGCCCCAGCGTGTAGGGCGGGTCCCTGAGCGACCTCGGCGGCGGGTCGGGCTCGTCGTCGTGGCGGCCGGAGGAGGAGGACGACGACGACGACGTGGTGGTGATGGCGGCGGAGACCCTGGACCTGGCGTCGTGGTGCTCGGCGAGCGCCCGGTGCGGGTGGGAGACGAAGTGCTGGCGGAGCTCGATGAGGTCCTGCTGCGGCGTGCCGAAGCGGCCGGCGCCGACGGTGCCGCGGAGCACGACGACGGTGAGGAGGAGGCAGACGACGGTGAGCTTGGCGTTCCGCGCGAAGCGCTGGATCTGCCGCATCCGGCGCTCCCCGACCACCCGCTCCGCCCACATTTTGGCCCTCCGATCGAACTCTCCCCCCCCCCTTGCAACCAACCCAACCCAAACACAAACACAGGGGGGATGGAATCGAAATGCAAGAGCCAAGAGGGGCCCTAGCCGGACACGGTGCAGCGGCGAGCAATGCGGCCGCCGCGGTGCTGGGGAGAGTGGTAGAGGGGGACGAGGCGGAGGAGGTTTTGAAGCGCGGACGCGGAAGAGGAATTAATAAGGGTGGTGACGGTGAGTGTGCCGGCCCCGCCCGCCCGCGAGTGAGCGCGCACGTTGTGGGGAGGGTCAGGGAGGCGCCTCGGGGAGCGGATTGCGTTGGCTGTCTGGGGGGAGGTGGGCGATGGATGGGGAAGGGAATCGAAATCGAATCAACCCCGCCGCAGATGGGGGGGAGAAGGGGAGGGAGGGGACGAAGAAGAAGAAGGCGAGAGAGGGGTGGAATGAGGCGGAGCGCAGAACGACGCGGACACGATATGCGATGCTTCTAGGACACCTTTTTCACCCCCCGCTGTCGCCTGCCTCGACACGGTTGGTTATTACACTCTATTACATCAAACGGTTGAACACGTGCAAATATATTAAATATAGACTAAAAAATAACTAATTGAAGATAAATCTTTTAAGTCTAATTAATCTGATTTGATAATAAAGTGCTACCGTAACATATGCTAATGATAGATTAATTAGGCTTAATAAATTCCTCTCGCGGTTTATCGACGAATTCCGTAATTTATTTTTTTATTAATATTTAAACACGCATACAACATCCTACGTAACATCTGATATGACACCAAAAACTTTATATCCTGGATCTAAACAATAGCTAGAGCTTGTTCGGCTACATTTTAAGTCGGCTTGTTTGGCTTATTTTTTCAGCTAGAGCAATATTTTTCTCTCAAAACATTTCAACATAAACAGTGTTTTCCTCGTATAAACAGTAAATAATCCGACTTAGCCGAACACTCTCTAAGGAATTGATCGCTGTTTACCTTCTGGTTCGCCTTCATGCGGTGGGTCCACGGAGAGTGGGCCCGGGGGGGAGCGTGTATGGAGTACAAGACAGCGTGGAGGTGTCGGTTAATTTGCTCGGGTTTATATTAATCGATTGATTTCCGTCATGACGGTGGCATGGAAAGAACTTGCCGAGTTTGCAGGTTGATTGATGGGTGTCGGGTTTTGACTTTTGATGAAGCTTTTAGCGTGGGGCATTTTACCGTGTGACTTGTCAGAAACTCGTTCCGTGTACTAATTTCGTACTACTAGGTGTAAACTTGATGAAAAAAAAGAGCACTTGCGTTTGCGGCCATGGATGGCGATGGCGTTCATGACAAAACCAAACCATGGAATCGTCAAAGCTCAAACGTAACGTGCATAGGAGTACGTTACAACAGTTAAAAGATGGTGTAGTGAGCATGGGTGTTGCATGGAAAAGGATTTGCGGTGATGGAGACGCGCTTGACGGAGAAAGGGGACCCGTTTTAAGCCGTGCAGTCAAAACAGGCTAGTACAGGGAGTGGCGGGCCATCGCTATTCGCTCGCTGCTCGGTGGCAGCCAGTTGTAGACAGGACGCCAGGGAGGGAGATTGCCTGCACATGACGCGGTGACTTTTCTCCAACGTCTAGATGACAAATCTATCCGCGTCTCCATCGGGGCCAACATCTCCGGCACCGCACCCCCACGATAAACTTCCTCTCCACCCATCCCGCCGACATGTGGGTCTCCATGCCAACCTAGTCCCACTTGTCACTGGGGAGCAGAGTGCGTGTTTTTGCAGTACGTACAGAGTGATCTGGGCGTGTCGGTCGTGGAGCTTTCGTTCACTGCTCGTCAATTTGCTGAACGGCGACGGCGACGGCGAGCAATTAAGGGACAACCATGATTTAGTACTCGCCATTAGGGCGTTGCCTATGTCAGCAAATTGGAGTTGCTAGTCCCATAGTCCATTTGTTTATGCGTTTTCGATTTGGGAAGGTGTGAGCGACTGAGCGGCGAAAATTGTATATCCCCTAGGCACGTGACATCACATTGGACTGGCTTCACTCAGCTACAAAAGTATGGACCAATTTGGGAGTGCTCTTCCTGCTTTTACATTCTTCGTAGTAGTAACTGATAATTTTTTTTTTGTGCGAAGGGATTCTCTGAATGAAATTAATTTCCTATCATCTATGACTCTTAGGACAAACTTTGCGCATATAGTGATTTGTGTGTGAAATGAATTGGGAGAAGCTATTTTTTTTTAACTTCTAGGCTCCCAGTTCATTTCAGAGAATTACTTCGAAGCGTCAGCAAAAAAGTCACTTCTTTGAAAAAAGATTGAGCTTCTCCTGGATTCAGCATGGAAGCTGCTCTGGAAGCTCTGCCAAACTGGCTATGAATTTTTTTTTGAACGAATGGTCCTATGTATCTGTGTTAATAAATCTACACGTTTCTAGTGTACGAGGGCCTCCGATTTTCCATTAATAGAAAAATATAAATTCATCGTCACTCTGATAACTTGCACGCTGGCCAACTTTCGAATTTTGATGCTTAGAGCCTTCTAAATCCGTACAGCGTATCATTTGGGTCCTTAATTCTGGAATGTTAATAATTGAGTCCTCACACTTGTATAATGATATCAACACATGGAGCATTGGAGCATGTTACAAGTTCAGGCCTAGATGACACCATTGTACAATTTCAGGAACCCAAATATCAAAATTCGTGATGGATTCAGATAGTACCGCCAATTAAGTTTGACACTCAAATATCAAAATTCAAGAGTTGAATATTCAAATAATAGCGTCGTGCAAGTTTGAATACTGTTTTACTCGAAAGAAAATAAGACGGTTTCAACCTTTAGGTTCATTAGCATATCTCTTTCTCTGGCCCCCTCCGCATGGTAACCAGTAGTAAAAATCAAGTCCAATCTGGAACGTGTGATTCTCGTAGCAATTTGGGTCGAAAACCTCACGCTAGTCGAGGTTTCCAATGCTACCAGTACTATGGAATTCATGGACGTCTTCTATAGAATCTAGGCCTTGTTAAGTTTGCGCGGTTATGAATCAGTATTCGACGCTGTAGCATTTTCGTTTGTATTTGATAATTATTGTCCAATTATGATCTAACTAGACTCAAAAGATTTGTCTCGTAATTTATAATTAAATTGTATAAATAGTTATTTTTTTATCTATATTTAATACTTCATGCATATATCAAAGATTTGATGTGATGGAGAGAGAGTGAAAAAACTGGAATCTAAACAAGGCATTTGTTACAGTGATACGCGGCAATGCAGATCTGCTCTGCCCAGGGAAAATCTGGCGATGCGTTGGTCTGTCTCCCTGAGCTCTACTACTCTTTCGTTCAGCGGGGATTTGACTCTTGATTAGAGATGATTGCATGTTATTATACTAATATAAAGTGCATCCTACCGCCGGTCGCCGTCAACGAGGCGCCAGTGCCGCCCAGAAACTTGCACGTACCCAAGCGGCCAAGGCCGATCTCCACCTCCATTTCTTTATCGCGGTTTCTTTACTCCGGCCGGCCACTCGCCGGACCAAGGCCGTGTTCAGATGCCAAAAATTTTGGCAAGATGACACGGTAGTAGTTTCGTTGTTATTTGATAATTAGTGTCCAATCATAGTTTAATTATGTTTAAAAGATTCGTCTAGTGGATTTTGTCTAAACTATGTAATTAGTTTTATTTTTTATTTATATTTAATGCTTCATGCACGTGTTCAAAGATTCGATGTGATGGGAAATTTTGAAAAATTTGCAAATTTTTTTCAACTAAACTGGACCCAAGCCGCGGCGCTGGTACATGATGACAGCAGAAAACAAAAAAGATATACTACAGCCAGTGGATCCGAGATTTCTCAGAGCTGAGGCCTGAGAGAGATCTTTCCGACAGACTGATTGATGCTTTCCGTGGCTCGCTTGCCCGCCAGGTGTGCCTACTCGCGTGCGCCGCATCAGTGCCATGCGACCCAAAGCAGAACCAGCAGCCGAATCATCGCCAGTTCGCCACCACGCCTTCCGCTGGAATCAGCGGGCAGGCGTGAGCATGTAGCGTATAGCGATCTTCCTTTTTGTTGGCTTTCTTTGGCTGCCGGCAAGAGACGATGACGGCTCGGGGCGGCGGTTCCGCGTCTTCTTCCGGCTGCCTCGTTTTTTATCCACAAAAGGCCGGGCACCGGCAGGTTGTATCTGATTTCCGGTGCTCGAGCGAGCCTGAGTTGCCTGACCGGCCATGCACGCCGGCTGGGTCGTGCAAGGGACACCGACACCACGCCATACCCAGTTATCCATCCACCAAAGGAAGACTGAAGACGTGCGTGCGTCAATCGAACAACAAGCGCGGTGCTACACGCAAATGGCAGTGTTGTGTATGGCGTCGTCGAATAGACAAAACTGCACATGGATATTGGCAACTGACATTCCACGCGTAAAGGGCCCAGCCGCCTAGGACGAAGAGCTGGTAAACACCAATGGAAGATAAACACATACCCTAATTTAAAATCAAAACTATATCAAAACTTTGGCCAATGAACCATCGTAGGAAATGCTTACATGCATGTGAGCAGACTAAGGGAACAAAAATATTATGTTTTACCTATCCGAAAAAGAGCATACCAAGGATCTTTTTTGATCGACAGAGAAGAAAAACCCCCAAAGACAGTTTTAGTGATAATGTGAACGCTATTAAACCGCACATGGTGGCCACCACAAAAATGGAAGCATATGCAACTAGTATTTGCCATCAGGCCTACATGGGCCCCGGGGTAGTGCCTAAATGGACCAGATGCAATGTAATGAGCACCAAGCATTGTGTGTCTGGGACCACAGTCGGAAGATGCTTAACTCCGCACGACCAATAGATCTGGAAACATTGAAGCCAACCCCTAACTCAAAAATTCTAGTACCAAAAGGTGGTACGTACTTGCAGATGATTCCTGTCAACTCCCTAGCCATACAAGAAAGCATAACAGAAGTTAGTAAAGGCTTAATATCAAGGCTTTATATTTGGTCATGATGTAACGCAGGTCAACATGGCCAAAGGTACTGTATTTGTATTTTGATCTAGCTGAGGATTGAACAGACTAGAGACTACCCAGGATTTCTCCCAGCCCTAGGGACAACTAAACTATCACCTGGGTATGAAAGGGTCGCATGAGTACTTCCATAATGGAGAAACAATGTATGACCCAATCACCCAAAGTAACTTAATCACAGAGTGGCCCACCTAGGATTGAACAGGCAACCAAAGATTTGTATTTTATGTCTAATATGCTATATAGTTTGGTTTTGAAATTCTCTTGTGATGTACTAGGTGATTAATCTTCGGAATTTTTCGAACTTCTCAGCCAATTCTTTTTTTTTACCTGACTCGCACTTCCACTTGATGCGGCACAATTCACTAATACCACAGATAAAGCCCACCAACTCAACACTAATTACAAGCCATAACATTGCCAAGGCCAACACATTTGATGGACAGAGTCACGAACTCTTAGATCTATGTATAAGAACTTAAAGTGCAATATTCCGTTTTGACTTAATTCTTCCTCCAAAGCTACAAGCCACTTCACATAGATGCACATGGTTGGGAGTTGTTATATCTCAGGTGCCTAAATTTTGAGCAGGCAACAATCTTATACAACTAACTAGTACAATTAAAAGGACAACTCACAAGAGACAATTCACATTTTTTTTCTATAGTCAAACAATAACAAAATTGCCACCAACTAGTAAAATTAAAAGGACAACTCACAAGAGACAATTCACATTTTTTTCTATAGTCAAACAATAACAAAATTGCCTATTGCCTGAACAACAACAAAAGATCAGGCACCTAAAATAGAGGACAAGTGGAACTTATAATATCTACTCCCTCAGTCCTAGAAAGGAAGACGTTATGAGATGCGTGCATGTCAAACTTTCTCAACTTTGACTAGGTTTGTAGAAAATGTGCGCAACATTTATATCTCCAAATAAGTTTATTATGAAAGTATATTCAACGATCTATCTAATGATACTAATTATGTATTATAAATATTAATATTCTTTTATATATAATTGATCAAAGTTAAAAAAGTTGAATTCTCGGGAAGCGAGAACGTCTTCTATTTTGGGACAGGGGGAGTACACTCGGCAACTATTGTCTGCTGGTATGGTTACCCATGATTGTCAAGACATAGGTGCAACAATGGGACTAGAGAAGCTCTCACTACTCACTGCTCCAAGCATGCCAACCTCCAATTCTACTGGTGGGTGTATTTACTGAATTGTTTTTCTGACTTTCTGCAAACTTTTTGACACCTAAAAAACAATTGAAGATTTATTGATGTTTCATCCTATTTCTTACAAGCTTATGACACATGTTAAGCCTGTAAACAGACCTGACTACTTATAACAAACAGAAAGTGACAATTAGTTTGCAACAGAAAAACAGGTGAAGTTTCAAACCTGCAGCACTGGACAGCAGTTACTCCGAGGAATAGGTAAACATTATTACTGCCTCGTGGTTGTTATAGGGTACAACTGAACCCAAGCAAATTCCTCTTTGTAGCTAACACTTTGGTCACATGACCCTTGACATGTGTAGACAGCAATTGTTGCCCAGTCAAGTGAGTCTGGTTGATTTCTCACACCAAAGAAATAAAGCAATTGTGGCATTACCTGGAAAACAGAACATATATGTAAGTAAAACCTTCGGATCCTAACTTTTAGATTTGATGGTACTGGATCGGTACATATATGAAAAAATTGGAGTCTTCGTCCTTCTAGTGGATATACTTCGTTTCGAAATTTAGGTCATTTTAATTTTGTCCTAAGTAAAACTTGACTAAGCTTATAGAAAAATAAAAGAATATCTACAACATGTCAGCATAAAAGTAGTTTCATTAAATATATTATTAATGTCTTGATGGTGTATTTATTTGGTATAGTAGATGTTAATATATTTTTTCTATAAATCTGGTCAAAGTAAGAGAAGTTTGAAAGGCAGAACTAAAACAGCCTATGTTTCCGAACGGAGGGAGCAACTACTATAATGAAATATGGACTGTGGTCATAAATTAGAAATTTGGCCAACCTGAAATTCATAGCATAATGGACCTCTACAGTAGCTACATGATGGGATATCAGCATTTGACGGACACCCAGAAGATAAGGCCCAGAGAGGTTTAGCATTTGGTTCTCGACAATACCTGCATAATACACATGTTATGTTTAGCACTGGGTTCTCAACAATACCTGCACAATACACTGTAATGCACATACTGGCAACATTTCTTTTTTTAGAATAAGTATACAATGCAAGTAATAAATTCAGTAACGATAGGGCTATTTTCCCAAAAAGACAAGGCAAAATGTAGATGGATTCACTATAAAACATGGTAAAAATAGATGAGAAATCATGCAAGCAATGAAATTTCACCTCAACACTTGATGTGGTGCTCTTGAGATCCGCTCTTGAAAAGATGCCCAGCATTTGTTGTCAGCATCAGCCTACCCAGATAGCAGTAAATAAACGCAATGATTGATGCATAAGCAGAAGTCCAACAGAGATTATTCCAAAGAGAACGAAGAAAGGAAAATGGGCCCAAAACCTCAAATTGATCCATCCACGACTGCATCATAGCATCAGGTTTCCCATGTCTTTGCATCACCAACGACTTTGAGTTATTTTCATCATCACTATCGGAATCAAAAGTACCTTCATAGTCTATTTCTATTTCAAATTCTGGCCAAGAAGTGCTAGCAGGAACTGAAAGTAGACAAAAATGTGAGCCACAATTCAAATGTTAAGAGCATAAATAGCTTTAGTAATCCATACATAATCACCTTTTCCTACAGCTGGCAGAACTGAATTTGAAGCAGCAGAAGAACTTATTATCTGGAGGCAATCATTTTTATGACCAGTACGCCAATGCAGTGCCTGAGAAACAGCAATCAAGAGCCATTAATCCAAAATATATGTTCGTGTCAGAAACGAATTGATGGACGCTAAAGTTCGACATACATACCTGATGTTTCTCAGAACAGTATCTTGCTTTCTTGCAGCTACTACATATTTTATCACCTTTCCAGGTACCACACCAGTGGCATACAGGAGCTGGCAACAAAGAGTTAGGCATTTGAAAGAATTTAGTAACATTAACTGTTTGACAGCCAAGGGACAGGTAAAGCTCATTTACCAACAACTAGTAGACAGATTGCAGGATTATAGCACATAAACAGTAATGTGACATGTCAGAAAGTTCTAAGACAGCAATTGTCATATATTTATGTTAAGCTTACACACTTCCAAATAAACTTCTTTTGAACAAAATTTGCATGTGCCATAGGTCCCTAGCCACTCCAAATGTAAACAAACAGAAATATTTCCAAACGAGAAAGCAAGGTAGTAGTTGACATGGAGAAAAGGTTGCACAGTGGCAGAAACAAATAATGTCATAGATGGCAACTTCAAGAATTCAGGTCCAGAAATCCGGAAGTCACTATCAAACATATTCGCAATTTCACATATTTATGCAACAGTCATTGTAGGATATATAGTGTCAACTGCCATGCAACAGAAGAGAACACTACCTCCTGGACACAGTGGTTTGTCAGAGCCATCATGCTTTAGAGGCTGAGGTGAGTAGAAGGCGTTAGTCCGTGGCAATTGGCACCGGAAGACCTTCACGCTGGAACACAATCCACTTCAAACAATCAAAATCTGAAGATTTCTGAACAAAAACATTACAGATACAGGACTCTCTTCACCTTCTACATGGATTCCCATGCTTGTGTTTCCATTGTTCATGTTGATCTCGAAGCAAGCACGCCATGGATGGGCACATGAACACGAACAGCGTTCGATGGAAGGCTGCTACATTGTCTTCATCTGGTGCATAAATCTAACCAAAACCAAAGCCCAATTGTGACCAAGTCGACATCCAAACAACAAGCAATCGAGTGTCAAAACTTCATTGCACACAAAGAAATCACCTGGAGGACGAACTGCAGAGGCTCGCCACAGAAACCGCAGAAGCTGGACTTCCCCGACGGCAGGTTCACGGGGTCCAGCCACGCCTGAACAAACCCACACAACCCTGGCATCAACACTGCGACTGTACAAAAAAGAAAATTAACTACTGGAATTTATCACGGGCTGGCGCGCGCACCGGGATGCCGCCGGCCTTGCTGGGGAACAAGTGGCGGAGGAGGAGGCCTGGGTGCTTCGGTTTGCTAAGGACACCAAGCGTCACTTCCACTTCTTCATCCTCATCGTCGGCGTCCTCGTAATCCGCTGCAGCGGCAGAGGGGCCTGCTGGAGGGGGCTGGTGCGGGACCTCGGTCTCGTCGTCATCATCATCCAGGGAGGTGATACGGAGGCTGCTAAGCTTCTTGGCGCTGGACTCCATTATCGGCGGCGGCGAGGGGGCGGCGGGAGTGTTGCGGCGGCAAAACGGTCGCTGCCTCGCTGGTTTGGCGAAAAAAAAAACCCTATCCCCACCCAACACGATCCGGCGAGAAAATCGGAATTTTGCCCGCACGGGGAGCGGACTTCGCCCAAATGACATCAATTCTACGGGCTTGGTTGAAATGTCTTTACGAAACGAGTCCAACACGCTATAATGTTATTTTTAGTTTTAAGTCGACTTTAAAAAAAATTCAGACGAAATTTTAGCCTCTAGTGACCATTTTGCTCTGAGCTCGTTGACCTATTCCCTACACTCTCATCTCTCCCCCTCTCGTTGTTCTCTCGCTCGAGTGAAAGGCAGAGCACCGCTGCCCCAGGCCGCCCCCCCCCCACCCCCGCGCCGCGCCCCTGGGCCGAGCCTCGCCGCCGCCATCTGCCCCCAAGACGCTCCCTGCCCCAGACGAAGGCTAGCCCACCGGTGCCGCCACGAGCAGGTCCCCGCTCTCCTCGTCGCTGGATCTGCGGCCGCTGCTCCTGGTTGTCCGGGTGCTCTTCCCCAGGCGAAGGCGGGCCCAGCCAAGCCGCCCGTCCGCGCTAGGCCACCGTCGCCCGACCGCGCGTCACCAGGCGCGCCGCCTTAGACCAACCCTGTAGAACTAAGGTGAGCCTTCAAGGCGCCCATATTCATGATTGATCTGTGGATTCAATGGGTATAGTGTTAACTTAGGGTTTTACAGGAGTAGAAAACAGTGATTCTCTTATGTGCTTATGCTATGGATTGCAATCGGAGTGATGTAGTTACCGGGTATGCATCATTATTTATTCTTTGTTGTATGGTATGCGTGGATCTCGTATGTGTGTAGTATTCTAACTCTGTAATGGGTATTTTTTTAGGCTCGATGCGGAGCCTGAGCTTAGTTTCGTGCCTATAGATGGTGGCATTCTAGAACAGCCATAGGGACATGTCGTTAATTGGGATGAATTACAGATTGAGGAGAGGCAAGATGATAAAGGGGAACGAATGTTAGAAATTTTCGATGAGGATGAGCTGTATCGTTTGCTGGGCCTGAGAACCGAAGATAATCATGGCCAGGGTGCTGCTGATGGTACTTTAAATGATGATCAGGCTACCACAAGCAATGGTAGTACAGTCCCTGATGTTGACACTAGTGGTGCAGCTATCTCTGTTGATGATGCAATACTGGAGGAGAGGGTGATGGTGTATGACCCTAACAAACCATGCATGGATATTGGTACTGTGTACCCCAACATGGTTGAGTTTAGATTGACGGTGAGGCAGTTTGCCATTAATAAAGAGTTTGCACTACACACTGTGAAAACAGACACAGAGAGGTTTATTGGGAAGCGCATGGCACCAGATTGCCCTTGGCATATTAATGGTCGAAAACAACGTCATTCAAAAACTGTTATGGTATACATTTTTTTTTGTTATATGAATGTGACTTCTTTTTTTGAGTCATGGCAATGTTCTAATTTCTGTAATAATGCAGGTTACAGCTCTGATTGATCAACATAATTGTTCATCCAGTGCGAGGAGACTTACTACTACACCCACTGCTGCTTGGGTTGCTTCAAGGGGTATCAAGCACCTCAGGAAGGACCCAAATATGGGCCCAAAGGAATTGAAAAGCAGCTGTAAGACGACCACAAATGTGAAATTCACTATGACACAGTTTGGAAGGGGAGACAGATTGCAATGAAATAGTTGTTTGATAGCTAGGAGGAAAGCTTCCAAATGCTCTACAATTGGAGGATAGATGTTCTGAAGCACTCACCAAACAGTGTCATTGAGATTGACATCAAGATGGTTGATGGCAAGGTACACTTTCATAGGTTCTTTTGTGCTTTAAGTCCTTGTATTGAGGGTTTTCTAGAGGGATGCAGGCTTTACCTTAGTATAGACTCCACTGCGTTGAATGGTAGATGGTGTGGACACTTAGCAGCAGCCACTGCTCTAGATGGACACAATTAGATGTATCCTGTTGCATTTAGCTTCATAGATGATGAGACAACATAAAATTGGGAATGATTTATGACTCACTTGCATAAGGCCATAGGAAATCTACCTGTTCTTGCTATTTGCACTGATGCATGCAAAGGTCTAGAGAAAGTTGTTAAAAATGTGTTTCCTCATGCTGAACATAGAGAGTGTTTTAGGCATCTTATGTAGAATTTCATTAAGAGGTTTGGGGTGATGATTTTTCAAAGATGTATCCTACAGCTCGAGTGAAAGGATCAAGATACTCAAGAGGGGGGTTGAATTGGGCTAATTCTAAATTTCTTTGCAATAATTAAACTCTACGGTTAGCTCAATTAACTCCTTGTGCCTAGAAAGTGTTTCTATTGATCTAACGCATAAAAGTTTAGCAACCTAAGTTCCAATCCTACTCTAGCATGGTAATTCTAGGAATGTAAATGACAAGAATTGAATTGCTCAAACTAAATGCTTAAATTAAAGAGAGAAGGAGGAACGTGGCAATATTTTACCGAGATATCAGAGAGTCGCCACTCCCCACTAGTCCTCATTAGAGCACCCGCGCAAGGATGTAGCTCCCCCTTGATCCGCGCAAGGATTAAGTGTCCTATACGGGTTTATTCTTCGACACTCCGTCACGGTGAATCACCCACAACCGCTCACAACTTGAGTTGGGTCATTCACAAGCTCCGCCGAATGATCACCAAGCTCCCAATCACCACCAAACCATCTAAATGATGGCGATCACCAAGAGTAACAAGCACGAACTCTCACTTGACCACGACAAGCCTAATTAGAAGGGTGGATGCACACTTTGCTACTCTTGATCTCACTAATGAGGGCTCTCTTTGGGATTCTCAAATCTCAATCACCTCACTAGGACCTTACTCTTTTTTGCACTCTCAAAGGTGTTTCTCAGCTGTTGGAATGAGGAAAAGTACCCCCACACACGAATGTAGGAAGTATTTATAACACCGACTGAAAAACAAACTGTTATATGCCTCTACGGGGTGACCGGATGCTCCGGTCATGTTGACCGGACGCTCTGGTCAGTTCACCCCAAACTCCAGTGATAAAGTAGTGACCAGACGCTGGACAGCGTCCGGTCAGCACTGACCGAACGCGTCCGGTCGCAATTTTCCCTCTCTGGAACCTTACTGGAGTCGACCGGACGCTGGCCCTTAGCATCCGGTCACTCACCTCTCAGCGTCCGATCGCACCAGAAGAAATCACCTTGATCAAATGAATTGATCGGACTCTGCGCCAGCGTCCGATCAACCCAGAACCAGCGTCCGGTCAGCATTTGACCCTCCGTTCACTTCCAACTCTCAATCATACGTGAATGAAGTTTGCTCCATTAGATCTAAGTGCTATTTTGGAGCTACCTAGTGCTAGATTTAGCAAGTGTGCACCACACCTAACCCACTAGACTCACCTAGGTCAAGCTACCCGTTCATACCCCCTTAATAGTACGGCCAAAGGAAAAACAAAGTCCTAAACTACTCTAAGTGTCTTTTCAACTCCAAACGACACTTAGAACTAGTCCATCCTTAACCTTGTCGTCCATCCTTTGAAAACCGAAACGATTTCCATCGTAGGGGCATGACCACCATGATTGCCCAATCAATCTCTATTACCTTGACCTAACTTAATTGTCTCTATAAAACACACGTTAGTCATAGTAATCACGTATTGTCATTAATCACCGAAACCCAACTAGGGGCCTAGATGCTTTCAATCTCCCCTTTTTTAGTGATTGATGACAATACCACTTCGAGTATGTGAAAGAGATGAGGTTTTTAACATGCTTGGTTCATATAAGCTTTTGGCAATAAGAACAAAAGTGTTAGGCAAGCTTATATGACCCAAGCCAACATGATGTACTCAAAAGATATGAAATAAGCATGAGTACAAGTAATAAAGCTCATTTGCATCGGAGTAAAAACACGGAAGCAAAAGCAAATGAGCATAACATAAAGTGATATGACATATAAATGATTCAAAATAGAGAGCACACATGTCATATATCACGATCACGTAGATATCACTATCACATAAATATAGTTTGATGCATAAAAGTAAACACACGAATGCATAATAGTGTATCACACATAAAACTCCAAATATAATAGATAAGCTAATATATAAACTCCCCCTAAATATGTCGCTCCCCCTAAGACTAACATACTTGAACCTTCTCCTCCTTTGACGTCAAACACCAAAACCTAAGGGTCGGTCGGCGGGGCTGCAGCGGATGAGCCGGGCGCTGAGGTACGAGGAGCGAGCTGGAACTGAGTTCCATCATCATCTGACCCTGAGCTCTGAGCAGTCTAACCCTCTGTAGCTAGAAGCGATGTTGAAGCAGTCTGGGTCACATCAGGGACTAGAGCTACTGTAGACTATGCTGGTATGATTGTAGCAGCCGGCTCTGATGATGCCACTGAGGAAGGAAGCGTCTTTGTAGTCCCGGTAATAGGTGCAACTGTGGAAGGACCTGGGACATGTAGATATGGCAGAGTAGACTGCCCTGTCAACTCACTGAAGGAAGCACCAAGGCTCCTGGACACTGTAGTCTCTGACACTAACAGCAAGTAAGTCTGAGCCGGTGTGAAGCCCGTCTGAAGAGGTGTGAACTGCGGGGCTAGCACCGGCAAGGCAAACCATTAGGACACCTGCTCTGTAGGTGAAGCAAACTGTGCTGGTGGCTGTCCCTGACTCTGAATCCCACTGAGCTGTAACGTCGGAGTCATAGAAGTGGTGGCAGGCTGACCAAGCTAGGGCGAAGGCTGTGGCGGTGGAGCCCCAATAGCTGTCACAACATACTACATAAACCCAAGTAGCTGCTGTTGCATGAGGAGCTGCTGCTGATGCATGGCCTACTACTACTGCTGTATAGCCTGCTATTGCTGCTGCATAGCCAGCTATTGTCGTTGGAACTCATCCTGCCTTGTCTGAACTGTGCAAATATAGTAGTTGTCTCCTGTGCCTGGCGAGCCTGATCCTGC